AGTGGCGGTTGGTGGAGTCGTCTCTACGTCCCGCCCTGTCTCGCGTGGTGTCCCTCAGGGAGAGATTCTGAGCCCACTACTATTCTCTATTCTTCTGTCTGATCTCCCTGTATTCCGGGGGGTCCAGGTTTTAGCCTATGCCGATGATGTAACCCTCGTGGCGGATGGTGACACTCTCCTAGAGGCACAAGGCTCCCTGCAAAATGCCGTGACTGTGTTCTCAGCAATTGTGCTGGGGAAGGGGCTCTCCATTAACCCTGTGAAAAGTTGCGTCATGAGCTTCACCTGGACTCGCTTACCAGATCAGCCAGTGGTGACCCTCGGGGGCTGTCGTCTCCCGATCGCTACCAAACACAGGTGGCTGGGGGTCGTTCTAGATAGCCCTCGGCTGACGTGGAGGCACCATGTCGACTACCTTCGGGCCTCATGCCTTCGTCGCGTGAACATCATGAAACGGGTCTCTGGTGCGGCTTGGGGGGCTTCACGGGAGTCGCTCCTAGCTCTCTACAAGGCCTTCATTCGTAGCAAGATCATGTATGCGAGTGAAGTCTATGGCTCAGCAGCAGCATCTGTCTTGGCAAGGCTGGATCCCATTCAAAATGGTGCCCTTCGCTCAGCGTTAGGAGCTATGCCCTCCTCGCCAGTTCTTTCTCTCCATGCCGAGTCGGGGCTATGGCCCCTGAGCTTTCAACGTCTTCTCGCCCACTGCCGCCAACTTCAACGGATAGTGCGTCTCCCTGCTACCCATCCACTTACTCGCCTCCAGCTCGAGGCTAACTGGTGGAATGTGCCGGCTGGACACTCCAGACGCCGTCAGTTGCCTTTCGTCGTCCGGGCCTTGGATGCATATTCACAGTTTTCCCTTCCCGTCCCTGTACTCACCCCTGGCCCGATCATCTCACCGGTGCCTCCGTGGGCAGTAGAGATCATTCGAGTTTCTGTCGACTTTTCCAAGCCTCCTCGTCGGAAGAGAGATTAAGAGGGTTTGGCCCCTTTAATTTTTGCAGACCTACGAGCCTCCTTATACTCTGGATACTTAGAGGTTTACACGGATGGGTCCCGCATAGATCAGTCACCATCTACATCTGCGGCAGCATACTTTGCTCCTTTTTCTTTCTGTCAGACGTGGAAACTCTCCCCTGCTCATTCGTGCCTGGCCGGGGAATTGTTTGCAATCTTACTAGCCTTACGACTCCTTCGACAAGTTTCAGGGCCCTCTGCAGTGGTTTTCTACGTGGACTCAATCACAGCCCTACATCTGATATCATCTCGGCGTCCACGAGTCCATCGTCATACTGTGTCACAGATCCGTGGAGAACTGCTGTCATACTCTGTTACTCCAGGTTGGTCCATCTATCTCCAATGGGTTCCGTCACATGTCGGTATTAAAGGCAATGAGGTAGCCGACGCAGCAGTAGGGATGGCGCATGCTCTCCATGACTCTACAAATGTGCCTCTAGACCTTTCCGAAATTCTCCCGCATCTCCAGGCGGCTTGCCTCGCGAGTTGGGAGGCAATGATGGAGCCAGCACTCAGGTCCTCCTCTTTGGCAGGTCTACGGGAGGATTCCTCCCCGCGTCCATGGACTCGTCATCATTCTCGACTCCTCGACACTGCCATCACTCGTCTCCGGATTGGGCACACTTGCCTGGCCGCACATCTCCATCGTCTACGGCTGGTAGATTCCCCATATTGCCAGTGGTGTCCGACCCAGGAGGATACAGTGGAGCACCTTCTACTTCACTGCCCTCGATTTCATAGCGCTCGCGTCAGACTACAGAGTTCCGTTCGTAGGCTGAATATTCCCCGCCTCACAGTTCCCGTTCTCCTTGACGGGGCAGGTGCGAGAGACGAAGACGTCCGTCATGACATCCTTCGCCATACCTTCCGCTTCATCCGTCATGTCCGCGGCCTGAAGAGACTGTAAAATTTGTCGCCTGAGGAGATTGTAGGGTCTATGGCCTGAAGAGACTATAGGGACCCCATCCCTCCGCTATTTCCCGGTATCGGGCACCGGGGCGCATCCGATCCCACGATCGTCGTCGCCCCTAAATCAACACAAGAACAACAACGACCACTGGAACATTATCTAACACAGTGCACAGTTACAAACCCATTAAGATTTCAACTTAGATTCAACAGAGCAGAAGAAGTTATTAAACGCATATGGCAAAATCTTACTGAAGCGACCATACGAGTCATAAGTACTCATACTCCACCCAAGTAAAACAGAAACAAGCAATACTTAGTGGGCCAGCCAGAGGCTTAGGGCCCACACAGGAATATCCCTGCAAAAAAAAAAAATAGTAGTGATGGTGGCGGTACAGTGAACTAGAGTGGCAGCACAACACCACAATAGTGATGGTGGTGGTACAGTCTTGTGTCCCGGACTTCCTGAAGGGAGGGGGGGGGCTTATGGAGCTTAAACCTCCAAAGAGCTCTGGTTACTGCACCAGACTGTTCCTCGCGTACAGGTAGACAACGTCCCTCAACCACTCTCTGCCGGAACAGACAACCAACCTCGGCAGCCACACTCTCGCTACCGCCAGTCGACCAACAATGAACTCTTAAGAGTGCTTGTGGTTTTCTCAGGAGATCACCCTGTATGCCTCTTGATCTTGGAGAGGGATTCAGCATCACATGTCTAGGGGGTACAGCTCCAACACTGGCCCTCGTTGTCCTGTGCACACACACTGCTCAAATACTTGAGCCGCCATGACTCCCCACTCTCTCTTTGTTTGGAATGATCTCCTCAATCCCCCTTTCTGTAAATTAGTATTCTCTACCACCCTGTCTGCAGCTATAATCCTTTCCCTTTCTCTCTCTCTCTTTTCTGCTTTCTGGGAAGTTTCAACAGGACAAGGGCAAACACCTGTTAACTATACACATTTAATGAACAAAGAACATATACAGTACACTACATAAAAGAGATGAAAATAGTAACATAAGACACTCCAAGCTACTACAACCTGGTTGTAATCTCATACCATACCCTGGCTTCACCAGCCGTCTATATCAAGTGGTTGCCCAACTTCTGACTGGTCACTTATTACTCCCTCACCAAGTGGGGTTAACTCTTGTTGTAATAATACTATACAATGAGCCCTAATATATATATAACTCAGCCTATGGCTGTAACACTAGAAACATCAATACTACACAATCTGTCCTGAAAGTATATAAAGCTCTGTCTGTGGCTGAGACACTAGAAACATCTGCATAAATATTCCTCGACACAAAAATGGTCAATCTCTCACCTTTTACTGCGTCTTACACGCCAATGACATTCAAGCACTCTTTTTAATACATTATAAGTAGTCACCATGAACCTCCGCTCGGCATCTAGAGGCTCACTACCCTGTATATCTCTAGATTCTCCCAGAACTGTCTACAAGGGTCTTCTACAGCTCTCCCAGACTGCTACACAATGAAGTTTTCCTCGAACACCAGTGATGCTCCACCAGTGATTCCACAGAAGCACGTGAAACTTCACTTCACTGCTCCTCTTCACAGATTGAGATTCACTCTTCACTATGGGGGGTTTTGCTCCTCCACAGAGTTCAACAATCACTATTACAATCGTGAAGTTCCATCCATTAACTTCTCCACTGGCCTCGAAGTTCCATCAACTTCTCCTCGACACAAACCTGCAATTTTCATTGCCATGCCAATAAAAAATGTTTCCCTACTAGCATATTCACATAAGTATCTTCACTCGACATCTCTTCAAACTCTCACACGTCGCGAGGGGGAACTCCCCCCCTTTTGGGTGATTCCATGCTCCGCCCTCGCTGGCAGCCGCCACCGACTCCCCTCAGTCAGCCACTGGCCTCCGGAGAGGGTGGACGCGTCACTCCTCCTTCCAGGACGTTCCTCCATCTCTACCCCCCTTATTACAGCTCACTGCCTTAACAAAACGTATCTAATGTATCCATAAACACTTGTCACAATTGCTGGACACACGATCAATCACTAGTGGCTCACTAATAACTGGTAAAAGAGGCTTACCACAGAATTTCCGACTTGAGGGCGCTCACTTGCTGAAGCTTGACAGGGCGCTCACACAGGCCGCCCACGAAAATGCTTTTGGACTGCTTAACAACTCTTCCTGCAGTCCATGACTTGAGTCCACACCCTTCCAGTCTGATTCCACAACCGTAACGTCTACTCACTTCCTTCCTCTTGAAGGTATATCAATTAGGGGGTCCTTCTCTATCAGGAGTTCAACGGAGCGTGACCTTCCCTCATGGTTTCTGCTGCTCAAGTGAGGTCAAGACCCCTGAAGTGCCTCACACCTTCTCAACAAACTCTCGACATCTCATGTCAAGTCATTTATGTACATATTGATCCTCTGCTTATGCTTTTAAACACTTCGTCAATATTAGCCAAGTATTTAATATACATTCACATACCTACATTTCCTTTGACCTCTCAGTTGGGTCTGGTTTGGCGAATAACTCTCACAAGGGGTAGACTCGTTTCTCAGGCTACCTGGGATCATAACACAGTGAACTAAGAGTGGCAGCACAACATCACAGTAGTGATGGTGATGGAACCATGAACTAGAGTGGCAGCACAACATCACAGTAGTGATGGTGGTGGTACATTGAACTAGAGTGGTAGCACAAAACCACAGTAGTGATGGTGATGGTGATTGTACAGTGAATTAGAGTGGCAGCACAACTCCACAGTAGTGATGGTGGTGGTGGTGGTACAGTGAATTAGAGTGGCAGCACAACACCACAATAATGGTGGTGGTGGTACAGTGAATTAGAGTGGCAGCACAACTCCACAGTAGTGATGGTGGTGGTGGTACAGTGAATTAGAGTGGCAGCACAACACCACAGTAGCAATAGTGATGGAGGTTGTACAGTGGACTAGAGTGGCAGCACAACACCACAGTAGTGATGGTGGTGGTACAGTCAACCAGAGTGGAAGCACAACATCACAGTAGTGATGTTGATGGTACAGCAAACTAGAGTGGCAGCACAACATTACAGTAGTGATGGTGATGGTACAGTGAACTAGAGTGGCAGCACAACACCACAGTCTACCACAGTCACCTCCGTGATGTCACTGTGGTTGACTGCTGCCCTCACCACATCCAGACCGCTCACCACATCACCAAAGACCCATAACCACTGGGGACCATCCTGGTGGTCCCTGGTGATGATTGTGAACTGGGCACTTGTGGGACTCCCTGGCGCCCACCAGGACGACACAGCTCCTGCCCGGCCTGACCCCCGGTACTGCCCCTGGAGGTTAGGCAGCAGTGGGGCTCCTCCCTCACCATCATTACTCTCATAGTCTCCGCCCACCACCCACTCCCCAGGCTCACCTTTGTCCATCACCCACAACAGTTTAGTGTTGCGGTAGGTGTGGCCCCGCTGGCCCGTACACAACAACACAAACTGTCTGGCCAGCGGAGTGTCAGGCGTCAGCCGGATTGTGACCCGCCCTCTTGTTGACCCCGCCCACCCAAGGTCAAGGAAAGCCAGGGTGCAGGAGGGGTCCAGCACGCCCACAACCTCACTCTCCTGCAGAAGATGAAATAAATCATGCTGATAACTGTGTAACAAAATGTTATCATATTATTTATCAAAACTCAGTAATGGCAGTAAGACTAGTGGGTGTAATAAAGTAACCTGTAGGGTGTGGGCGTGGGCAGGCGTGGGCTGACGCAGGAGTGGGTGGAGGTACAGCTGTCCATCTTGAAGAGTTATCCTGGCGGAGCAGCAGCCATCTTGGTCTTCATGGACGGCCAACACCTGGCCAGCTTCCACCAACCTCTTGACGGCCAACACCCGGCCAGCCTCCACAAGGCTCTTGATGGGCTCCCTCATCCTGCGGAGGTCCTCAACCTGTGGTCAGTGTCAGCCCCATTATCACCTGTGATCAGTGTCAGCCCCCTTATCACTCAACCCGTTCTCGCACTTTCTTACAGTCAATATTGACTTATTAAATACGTGCATATGTGACATACTAAACATACTAGTTTACCTTGAAAACCTTCATAGAAAACACAGACCTTACCTAACCTTCTTAGTATGTTAAGATAAGCATCTTATTGCTTCGTAATTACAATTATTACTTAACCTATACCTATAATAGGTCGAGTAATAATTGTAATTACGAAGCAATAAGATGCTTATCTTAACATACTAATAAGGTTAAGTAAGGTCGGTGTTTTCTATGAAGCTTTTTAAGGTAAACTAGTATGTTTAGTATGTCACATATGCACGTATTTAATAAGTCAATATTGACTATACGAAAGTGCAAGAACGGGTTGTATCACTTGTGGTCAGTGTCAGTCCCATTATCACCTGTGGTCAGTGTCAGCCCCATTATCCCCTGTGGTCAGTGTCAGCCCCATTATCACCTGTTAACAGTGTCAGCCCCATTATCACCTGTTGACAGTGTCGACCCCATTATCACCTGAGGTCAGTGTCAGTCCCATTATCACCTGTTAACAATGTCAGCTCTATTATCACCTGTTGACAGTGTCAACCCCATTATCACCTGTGGACAGTGTCAGCCCTATTATCACCTGTGGACAGTGTCAGTCCCATTATCAGCTGTGGTCAGTGTCAACCCCGTTATCACACATGGACAGTGTCAACCCCGTTATCACACATGGATAGCGTCAACCCCCATTATCACACACGGACGATGTCAACCCATGTTATCACACACGGACGGTGTCAACCCCTGTTACCACACATGGACAGTGTCAACCTAGCCAGCCAGTGTCAACCAACCTAACCTCAAGATAACCCTGTTATCACACACACGGACTGTGTCAACCCCTGTTATCACACATGGACAGTGTTAACCCCTGTTATAACACACGGTAAATATGTAAACACACACCCTTAGGTAAATATGAGAAAGACAAGAACCGCCCCTTAACCCTTAAGTTGCGCAATACATCATATGATGGGTTGAGTGACTTGCTATAAATTGCACATCCCATCATATGATGTATTGGAGTACTACGCAAGATTTAAACGGCCTGCGGATACACGGGGGTTCACCTCCCCTTCATCAGGGCTCTTGTAAACAGACGCCATTTTTATTTAAATCGTGGGCGAAATTCCCGGGTGTGAGAGCCTCAGTATTGAGTGAGCCACCAAGCCTGACGCACGCAGCATGAGCTCACAGCACTTCTGTTCAGCTTATGACTACAGTATCGCCTAAAACTGCCATAATATACATGTTCATGCTATTATTTAGGGATGATATTATTACAGAAGACCCCTGACTGTGATAAAAATGACCAGGATTCTGATAATAGCAGGATTGTTGTGATAATTAGCGCTGTAGTGGGAGGAGTAATCTTGGCAGGGAGGGAGGTAGCATTGTCTGCTGACTGTGTGTGACCACCTTTTACTGTCTGGGACTCATTATACCAGCTTAGTTGTTCACTATGGTAAACAAAACATGCAGATACTTATATATAGTCTGTATATAAAAGCAAAAACAGTATGGTGGGAGGAAAATGGTGGCGAGTCAGGTGAGGTGAGGGAGGCAGGGAGTTGCAGCCAGTGGCGGGCTGCCACTGGCTGCCACTACCACTCAGCATACCAACTTAGTGGTTCGTTATGGTGAACACGAATATAGATACTTATATATAACTTGTATATACAGTGTAATAACAGCAAAAGGAGTGTGTGGGGAAGAAGCCATTTTGGTGATGGGTGTGACAACATCTGCATGATTTGTTATGTTGGTAGGGGTGGCCACTATGCTCTTTGGGCATTATACCGGCTTAGTTGAAGTTATAGTGAACAAAACATGTAGATACTTATATATAACGTCTGTATATAGTGAATAAAAGTAAAAACAGTATTGTGGGAGGAGAATGTGGGTAAGTCAGGTGAGTTGAGGGAGGGAGGAAGTAGCAGCCAGTGGCGGGCTGCCATTGGCTGCCACTGCCACTCAGCATGCCAACTTAGTGGTTCATTATAGTGAACACGAATGTACTTATATATAACGTCTGTATATAGTGAATAAAAGCAAAAACAGTATGGTGGGAGGAGAATGTGGGCGAGTGAGGTGTTGAGGGAGGGAGTGAGTGGCGGGCTGTTGTGTGGCGGTCACTCCTCATTGCTTTTTTACTCATAATACCAACTTAGTGCTTCATTATGGTGAACAAAACATGCAGATACTTATATATATATATATAACCTGTGTATATAGTGTAGTAACCAACAAAGTATTTGTTCACTGTTTGTTGAACATAATAATTGAATCAACAATATGCACACCATATTTTTGAGTACAGCGATGATTCACTCTTTTTATTATATGAATATATGACACTCCACACTATTGAATAATATTACAGCAAAAAAACTACGAAAAATCAATCAGAGACATTGAAATAATTAAGTAATTATCTCTTTGTAGCCACTCCTGCCTGACAGCTAGGAGCAACAGACTGTCTGGGACGCACGCTGAGTCAGCGCCTGTTTTTTGCCAGACTTCCCCGCCCTATAGTGGGCAATATATGCCACTTATGATTTTTTATTATTTTTCCCATGATCAGAGAACACAAATTAACAGGTTTAGAATTATATATATATATATATATATATATATATATATATATATATATATATATATATATATATATATATATATATATATTATTAAATATGACCGAAAAAGTAAGATTAATAATTCTAACACGAATTTTCTCAATCTTTCGTACATTACGCTTCACTGTTGGAGGTAAATCAAAAATTAATTCTCCAAAATTCATTTTTATTTCTAGTCTGACGCGACACGGGCGCGTTTCGTAAAACTTATTACATTTTCAAAGACTTTAGTTCACAAATACACAACTGAATAGAACTTACGTATCTCCGATTTTATATCTACATTTGAGTGAGGTGGGAGGGGTGATGTGGCATTAACACAAGACAGAACAAGAGGGGATATTAATAGGGTATTAAAAGTATCAACACAAGACAGAACACAAACAATGGGTATTGAATAGAAGTGTTTGTAGAAAGCCTATTGGTCCATATTTCTTGATGCTTCTATATTGGAGCGGAGTCTTGAGGTGGGTAGAATATAGTTGTGCAATAATTGGCTGTTGATTGCTGGTGTTGACTTCTTGATGTGTAGTGCCTCGCAAACGTCAAGCCGCCTGCTATCGCTGTATCTATCGATGATTTCTGTGTTGTTTACTAGGATTTCTCTGGCGATGGTTTGGTTGTGGGAAGAGATTATATGTTCCTTAATGGAGCCCTGTTGCTTATGCAATAAGCAACAGGGCTCCATTAAGGAACATATAATCTCTTCCCACAACCAAACCATCGCCAGAGAAATCCTAGTAAACAACACAGAAATCATCGATAGATACAGCGATAGCAGGCGGCTTGACGTTTGCGAGGCACTACACATCAAGAAGTCAACACCAGCAATCAACAGCCAATTATTGCACAACTATATTCTACCCACCTCAAGACTCCGCTCCAATATAGAAGCATCAAGAAATATGGACCAATAGGCTTTCTACAAACACTTCTATTCAATACCCATTGTTTCTGTTCTGTCTTGTGTTGATACTTTTAATACCCTATTAATATCCCCTCTTGTTCTGTCTTGTGTTAATGCCACATCACCCCTCCCACCTCACTCAAATGTAGATATAAAATCGGAGATACGTAAGTTCTATTCAGTTGTGTATTTGTGAACTAAAGTCTTTGAAAATGTAATAAGTTTTACGAAACGCGCCCGTGTCGCGTCAGACTAGAAATAAAAATGAATTTTGGAGAATTAATTTTTGATTTACCTCCAACAGTGAAGCGTAATGTACGAAAGATTGAGAAAATTCGTGTTAGAATTATTAATCTTACTTTTTCGGTCATATTTAATAATATATGTCTACAGGAAAGACTGCTACCAAAATATACTAATATATATATATATATATATATATATATATATATATATATATATATATATATATATATATATATATATATATATATACAGTGGTACCTAGCATAACGATCGCCCCAAAAGACGAATATTTTGGGTAACGAACGGCCCGATCGGCGTCAAATTGTCCCGTATGACGAACGCTGGTTTGAGTAACGTCAACACCACATGGTGGGGTCGCGCTGCTTCTTGCACATTCTTAGACGCCTCCAACGATGCACATAAATTATGTTGTTCTTGTTTAAAGATGCTAATGATGCTGGGATATAAAAGGGTGACTGCTGAGATGTTGCAAAGCATTGACGTTTTTGTAGGAAAAAAGAAATGAAATATCTGATATACAACAAATGTCAAAAAGGTTCGTTCGGTGTTCGGCAGGTAGGCTGCTCCATTATAACAATCTTTCTTTGTTTCAAATGTATTCCATTTGTTTTGTATTTGTCATTTACGTCTCAATAATGGAGAAGCCTAATTTACATACACTGAATAAACCATTATGACATTTTCCTTTCATCAAATGTGTTCAATATTTATTTTTCATTTGTCTTATAGCAAAAGGTTCGTTCGGTGGTCGGCAGGTAGGCTGCTCCATGTTTCTTACATACAAAAAACGTAAATAATAAAAAAAAATTAAGAATTTTTAAAACCAGTACAAATGTCAAAAAGGTTCCTTCGGTGGTCTACAGGTCGGCTGCTCCATGTTTCTTAAATAAAAAAAAAACGAAAAATAAAAGAACTGTTGAAACGATTCGAAAAATGGACAAATGCCATAAAGGTTCGTTCAGTGTTTGTCGGGTAGGCTGCTCCATTATTGAGACGTAAGTGACAAATACAAAACAAATGGAACACATTTGAAACAAAGAAAGATTGTCATAATGGAGCAGCCTACCCAACAAACACTGAACGAACC